TTTTTTTTTTTTTTCTTAATTCAATTCGTATGTTTTTATCTTCTTTTTACGTTATATAGAATACGAGCTCTGGGATCTGCGGCTTTAAATATGTGCATGATCGCTCTCGGAGGAGCGGATATCTCTTTCGAATTTGGTATTCATGCATGGGATATTGCAGCTGGTGATATCATCGTAAGAGAAGCCGGTGGAGTGTGCATAGATCCAGCAGGTAATTTACTTTATAACAGGTCTAATATTACATAATAATTATCTCTAATAATATATTGAAACTTTGATCTTTGGAAGGAAAGATAATTTCTTTACGTTTGTTTTTCATTTATATGCGCGTTTATTTCTAGGTGGGCCGTTCGATGTCATGAGTAGAAGAGTTTTATGTGCGTCAACAATGGAGTTGGCACAAGAATTAACCAAAGTATTAGTTCAATATTATCCGGAACGTGATTAAGAATTATCAGGTGTATGAAAAATATCATAAAAAGATATCTTCAAAAAGAGGCCTTGTTATATACGTGAAATGCATACATGTTTGATGTATATATGAACATCTGTACTGCGTACTTTCTTTTGATAAGATTTAATTTTGATAATGAAATGGTAATCATTACATTCATGTTATTTTCGCCAAGGTTTATAAATCGAAACGGATATAAATGTCTAGGAAAATGTTCTAAAAACCTAATTATTAAGTTATTTGTTTGAGACAAAATTTACAATGTGTTTAAAAGATGAATTTGAATTTAACGTAAATTATATAGATATTCGATAAATGTATGTAACAATACTGTACATTGAAATCAAAGATATATGAATGTAAATGTAATATGGTTTTTATTGAAATATAATGTGAAATAAATTTAATTGTGCCATTATACAAATGTGTAATTTATTTTTATAGTTAAATATGCTTCTTTATATTATATAGATATCTCATTTGTTGTACTGAAATTTCGAGGATTTTTTTTTAAGTAATCTGAAAACTGAAAGCCATAAATATTAGTATTATGTTTCTTTCAATGTTACCTATACTTACGTAAAGCATTTAAAAGCTTATAGATTCACATTTATAAGAAAAATAAGATCTGACAATAATTTTTATTTCTTATACATGTATATCTTACCTGTTTGGATACTTACGGTTAATCTCAGCAAAATTTTATGACAAACCTTTCTGTTGACATAAATTTATATTAAATATCTGGCGATCCTTTTTGTGATAGACATCATTTTTATACAGTTGTCAAGCTGCTGCCCAGAGATTCTCATTTTCTTCATCATCATCATGTTTTCCACCAACTGATTTCATCTCTTCCATTGCCTCCCCTCCTCTCAGGGAGGGCTACAAGTGAAACATTACCAAATAGCCAATTAGAAAATTATGAGTTAGTTTGAAGTTTTGTGTATTCATTTTATTTCTGTATTGAAATGTACCCGAAACATCTAGCTTCCTTTTTTTTTTATTTGAATTTTGCAAAAGCACTTTTTTTGAAAGCCCTCATATTATATTAAAAAAATATTATGTTTATGCTTTATGTAAGGCAATGAAATAATGGAATTTTAATATCTAACTTTTCGTTTATCATATTTAGAAATATAATTTTGTAACTATGTGTTAAAATAATGTATAATGATATATGTACATAAATACGTGCAAAACAAAAATCTGTCTCCAAAGAGAATAGAACACAAAGAATGACTATTAGAACAATTTGATTTTGTTTTACGCTATAATTATGCAGGTTTTGATTCGCAATGTTATGTTGTTTAATGAAAAACGGATATGCTAAATATCCCATAAGGCAGTCCCCCATGAATACCTTGCAACGGGAACGGCGTTAAAAGCCCATGAAAGGTCCACTCGCACTTAACGATGCTTTGAATCGAAGACTCATATCTGAAACATAAGCAATCTCGTACAATATTGTCATGTAAAAATCACACATACCATGAACCATTCAAACAGCATTGACGTTCTGTCGTATCTTATAAATAAAGAACGCACAATATTAAATAAAAGAAGAAAATGAAAATTTAACGAAGCTAACGATACGAAATCGCAAGCTACTATGATGAGTCTGTTGAAACGAAATATAAGTTTTTATATATTTCTATATGTGACTACATGTTAATATTAAACATTAAATAAGTTTTGTTTTATGTAATGCAATTCGAAATTTCTATTTCTCAGTGCAAATATATACATTTTTTTTTTTTCATATTTTCTTACATCAATGTCTAAATAAATGCAACTCGTAAGATGTGAAAACGATTATTTGTAATACTAACAATCGATAGTGATAAGAGTAACAACACAATAACTTATTTTTTCAACACTTCCTGGAATTACACGTTTTCTACTTAATGTTTCATTATTTGATAAAAAAGAGATTACAATTGGTACTTTATTCCTTTTTCATATATAATTATTTACGGAAATACGTTGCGTACAAGTGCTTCTATAATTTTACACGAAAATAGCGCGCGATTAAGACTGAAAATATAAAATACAGGGCTTGTTTCTCATTTTGATAAGCATGTTTCGTTTTATTTCAATAACCTACTTACTATACAATTTGTTTCTTTCTTGTACAAGTTTCCTTGTTACTAGGCTTTAATGTCTGTTGTACGACGGCACAAAAGAACAAAAAAATGTTCTGGATTCGTAAATTATACGATCAAATTCGTAAACGTTTTACAATTTCGCAAACTCAGGTTTTTCGTTACGAATGTAACGTATTACTATTCATTTATGATATAATAATTTATTTATGAGTTATTTGTAAAGAAAGTTGCCTTTTGATATTCAAAAAGGTTGATAAAAAGAAAAATACTATGTACCACCATTATGCTAAGTATCGATGGCCAGTTCATGCTGAAAGAGGCGGTCACTTTTCCCAGTTTTCTTTTTCATCCACGGAAGAATATCGTTTAATGGCGTATATTCATCGAGCCTCTTCTTCTAGTTTTCATCGTGTTGGATTTATTATTTTATAGTTGCTGTGCACAGAGAAAGAAAAGAAATAAACTAAATCTAACTGGTTTCCACTTCAAAGAAATTTACACGAAAAAGAGATTTTTTACGCCCTTTGATACACTACATTGTTCCGAGCCAAGTACAAACATTGTTGTTTTTATAATCGTTGATAAATGCATCAATGGATGAACTCCAACATTTTTATTCATCGTTTGCAGTGGTTATTAATTAATATAAAAATAATTGCACCTGCAATAGTTATCATTAATTAAATAATACAGTTCAGATTGAGAGTACAAAGAGTTATTCAAATAATTTTTCGTTCCTCTCATAATGTACGTATTTACGCCTTGAAAATGTTCTTCTGTTTTATTCAGGTAAAGTGAGTGAAATGTGAAACGTTTGCACCGCCTCTTTCTGCTGGAACGGATACAAGACATTCGATATAAGTAGACACCGCATTATGTTAGTAATGCTTTTATAAAATACAACGAATCGTTAGCGGTGTCGATTCAAACATTTTTTTGCAAAGTTACGTCAATGAATTCTCCGATGCGGAAGGACCCCGGACAGGGTTACCTAGATCTTTTCTTGTATAAATGGGTGCGCCAGGGCGTGGTTCACAGTAATCCTTTTTCCTGCATCCAACATTAATGTTCGTTCCAAAAGATCCTTTAGTTGCCCAACTTTTCGGCTTTGTTCTGGTGGCAAAGAATTTCCACCTAATTCTGCGTTTAGATCACGAGTGGCAGGCAACGTAGACATCACTACCACTTTCTCCTAAAAATATAGGTGTTAGCAACTTTATCATTCATACGTTTTCTTCATGAGTATACATAATCGTTACATTACTTACCACACAGCAAAAGAACAAGATTGGAAAGAACAGTAGAAAGACAACTTACCCGCTCCGTGACCTTATCAACTTCATGATACAGGAAATTGCAGTTAGAGTCAAAATGTAGATCCTTGAATGAGCCTTTCCTAATCAGCTTATTAGGCATTTTGCCTTTTAAATCCATGAAGAATTTCAACATTTGGTTGTTCGTTTTGCCCGAAAACATTATTTTCCCCGTGTATAATTCGTATATGGTGCATCCCACAGACCACATGTCAATGCCGAAATCATACGGTATACCAAGAACTAGAAAATGCCAATGTTATTTGCACGGTATGTGATAATTATTATTAAATCTCTATGACAGTGGAGATCTCCCCAATGTAGGTTCGATCAATGTATCAGAGCTGTCACATAGAATTGTTATTAACAATTTTCAAAAAATAATGCGACTGATATAATCTAGTCGCTATAAAATTTTGTCTGTTCGTGTCTAATATGTACAGTATGTTTGAATTGTTTGTGCCATATTTTAAAAGATATACTATATAGCACGGCTATTGAAAGCTGGTTCAAAATAGAAGAATGATGAGTAAGCAAAGATTAATCTCTTGAATTTTAATTAAGAATAATTAAAATAAAACAAAGACAATAAATAACTCAAGAGATTAGTAAAGTGCGAATATACATTTATTAATTAATAAAAATCAGCAATACTTACTAATTTCAGGTGCTCGATAAAATCTTGATACTAAATACGGTGTTATCTCATTTTCATGAGCATGAGATGCTGAGCCAAAATCGCACAGTTTTAATACCAATTTGCTTTCACTGACTAGAATGTTATCCGGTTTGATGTCAGCATGCAGAATATTTGCACGTTTTAATAATTTGAGAGCAAGGAAAAGTTGCTGCGTATACGATCTTACCGCTTTAACATGTAAACCAACGTCTTTTCCATATTTTTTTAAAACCTAAATAAATTTTCTTACATGAAAGAGAACATGTCATAAATTAATGATAAATATATATAATATATACTTACTTCTCTTAAATTCATGGCTAAAGGTTCAAAAACCATACATAAATGATTTTTATGAAAGAAATGCCTGAAAAGTCGCAAACAATGAAATCTGTCTTCTGGATCTGCGTCATTCAATTTTCTAAGAATTTCTAATTCTTTAAGGCCAGTTTTGTGCCTGAAAGGATGAAAATATATCCATATAGCTCATTTTTAATATCACAATAAAGTAAAATGTATTGTATACTTACATTATTTCATTGTTCCTTATTATTTTTACAGCAACATCTAAATTGCCTCTAGCAGTATCTCTAGCCCTTACAACATTACTAAATACACCCTGACCAGTATATCCATAAACAACATACCGAGAATCTAACGTTTCACCCACCCGTACTCTAGAAATAAAAAAATAAAATATATTTTAACATTAAAAAAGGAAAAGAAAAAATATAATAATATTTTACCGATAATATCCTTCAGCATCATCCCAATTGTCTGTTAAACTTGGATTATCTGGTCCACCTTGCCGTTTTCCTTCGACTGTAGGACTCTATAAAAAATATTAATGCTTAATAAATGAACACGAAAAATAAAAAAAAAAGAAAATTTACGTACATTAAAATCACCAATATTGTCCGCTTCGGCGAACATGTCCCACTCGTTCGACTTTTTTGCATTTTGTTTCTCTTCTTGTTTAATTTTTTCTGTTGGTTTTGTATCTTCATTTTTATCTATCTCTTCGGATGGGGCATCCTCAAATCTAGATTTTCTCTTTTTAATTTGTGGCGATTTTGGTTTTTCGGGCAGTGGTGGGGTATGACTCTCTGAAGTGGATTCGTTATTATTAGACGATACTTCTATTGACTTTTGTGAAACATTTGATTGACTTTCAGAAGGTGGAGTTGCAGGAACAGTATTAATTTCAGCGGACATATTTGAGTCTTCATTTGGTCCTCCTAACCTCTGAACAAGAGAAAAGATTTACAGTTATTATTTTATAGTATTAGATAAAATTAATTAATTAATAATGAAATCGACATACTTTTAAAAGTTCTTCTCTTTGTTTTCTTCTACGTTCAATAATAGCTTCCTCGTCTTCTTCTTCTTCAATATCAATGTCTTTGATATCTTCTTCGCTTGACGTTTCTGAATGCTCTATTTTGAGTCCTTCAGATAAAGAATCTTTAAATTTATCATTACGTTCCCTTTTACCATTTTTCTCTCTTTTATCATGATCTCTAGTATGTTTGTCCCTATCTCTTCTACTTCGAGAAAGCGATCTAGAACGTTTATATCGATCATTTCGATCTCTGTCCAATCTACTTCTAACAGGACTACGAGATCTTCTTGTACTTCTTGAGCGTTCTCTAATTCGATCCTGGTTTCGACTATCTCGTCGATCTCGTATGTCATTACGATCGCGACTACTTCTACCATCTCTGGGCCGATCGCGACTAGTAGGACGTTCTCTACTATCTCTTTTATCACGACTATGTCGGTCTCTGCTAGCAGGTCTGTCTCGACTACGACTAGGTAGTCGATCTTTACTGGTATGACGATCCCGACTAGCATGCCGGTCTCGACTGATATGTCGATCTCGACTAATGTGTCGATCTCTACTAATATGACGATCCCGACTAACATGACGATCTTTACTAACATGTCTATCGCGACTTATATGCCGGTCTCGACTATTTTGTCGGTCTCGATTTTCTAATCTATCACGACTATCGCGTCTAGATTTATCCGTCTTGTCTAACGATTTGTATTCATTACGGGATCTGGAATTATGGTGATCTGTTTCTCGTCTTCGTTCTTCTTCCCTGTAATCAATTGAGTAATGTTTTATATTAATCAATTGAAAGTTTAGGCGTTTTACATTTAACTTACCTTTTATCTTGTTCTCTTTTGCGTGATTCATCTCTTTTAATAGAATCTTTACGCTTATCATCTTCTACTCGTTTTTTACTATCTTCTTTTCGGGAATCTTCCTTGTGTCTATCGCTTGGTTTCCGCACTTGTCTATCATCTTTTTTATCGTCTTTTCTAGGTTCCTCTTTAGTGCGAACTTTTTCATCCCGTCTCCTTTCTAGTTCTCTTCGTTTATCTTTATGTTCTTCTCGACTCCTACGATCCCTAGTCATATCTACTACTACACGCCTCTCCGGTTTTGCAATTTTTTTGCGTTCTCTACTACCAGACTTACTCCTAGCCCGCTTTTTGGGCGGTATATTGTCATTTTCACTATCATCCTCTACAAGTATAACATCAGGTGTTTCAGTAGCTTTTATTTCATCTTGATCAGGCTCTTTATCCTCTTTCTCAGATTCGTCCGAAAGATATTGTACTAAGCATGCTTGCAATCGTTCCTATATAAATATTAGAAACATGTGAATACTTATATGTTTTTTAACAGAAGTCTGTTGAAAAAACAATTATACCTTTTGTTTCATTAATTCTTCAAGATCAATATCATCTTCAATGATTGTACAGTCTACCTCATCTGAATCTAAATCTACTAATTTCTCATCTTCACTTTCTTCAGTAGAAACCACTTCTAATAAAGAATTTTTCACTTTGCCATTTACACCTAAATCTTTTTGAATTACGCGTGACGTCTTGTCATCTAATGATCCATTTTCAACTTCTCTTTCTTTTTTAGGTCGTTTATGTTTCTTGTGTCTTTTCCTGAAATGTATTTTATCATATTGTAAATGTATTATAAATGATGTATATATACTATTATATAATTACTTATTAAAAAAAAATACATATATTACACATACCGTTCTTGACGTTCTATTCTTCCATCTTCTCTTTCAATTAATTTATCTTTCTTATGCTTGTGATGTTTATGCTTTCTTTTCTTTTTCTTTCTTTGATCAACTAACATGTCAGATTCAGAATCTATAGTAACCATGTCTCTCTTAGACTCTATACATTCTAAATCCGATGTACTAAAATGTAATCAAACAATTAACATATTATACTAATATATTAATATCACTATATGTTAACGCACATAATCCGTAAATTAACATAAACTTTATTCAAGATGCTTAATATACATTAAAAAATTAAATATATTGTATTCATTTTACAAATGAGAAATTACATTAACGCAATTATATGTAACGTTTATCTTCGATCGATTAACACTAACTAGAATTTGTTACGAAATATAAATGTAACAAGGTATAAGAAATAGGTTATTTTTTTTTGATAGATTTGCATCGGAAAATTACCACAGAAAAAAGGAATTATCTTTCTTCGTATTTATTCAGTTGTTGTATACAGTACTAAAAAAGGGATATGTTAAAAATACATGAAAAATATTCCGAAAATAAACAGATCACCAAAATATATATGATATATGTAAACAGACTACCTTATACATTCTTTTAATCATTAAAATGAAAAGTTTCTCTTAATTGCATAAGAAAGTTCATTGAAATTTCCAACTTACCCCATGATTATGTTTTATAAATTGTTGTTATAAGAAAAAATTATAGAATTACTGCACAAAACAACTACACGCACACATGAACTCTTTAATGGGCCGCCATCTTATACTTCGATTGTGTTATTTCGAGATGTCTCGATGACATATTGAACTATCGATAAAGAAGGATAGTTTCCGGTTTCTGTGTTCTCGCGATGAAAGTACGCGTCGTGTCGATTTCGCGGTTTATTAATTTTTCTAAAGTAATCGTGCTTTGCGTTAAAAGTAATCACGTTAATTATACTTTAGTATGTTAATTTATACTTTGTAGTCATATTTTAATTTTAATCATATTTTGATTAATCATATTTTGGTATTGTGTAATGGCACTTTAAGAATTATAGTAGTATGTTATGAAAAGGGAAGCAACGAATTATTGCAATGCAGCATTGAGTAAGTTTTTAAATATTACATATTATCTTGTTGTACGTATAAGTAAATTGAACAAAAATTTTTTTTTCTATTTCAATGTCTCGATTTTCAACGTTTTCGATTTGAAAAATTTCTAACCATTCTATATATTAAAGTATAACTATTTTATATATCGAAGTATAGGACAGAGCTAGCGCCACTAACGGGTCTTAGGAACCCTCCATTTGCGGGTTTTTTCATATACTTATCATTTTTGTATAGTTTTCAATGTTACCAACTCAGCATATAATAAGATTACAACATCTCTGTTGGTTAGAATTGGAACTAAATAGTGGCATCATTGATTAAAGCAGACGAGTAGACTATACGAATAGACTAGGGGTTATGTGACCTGAAATACCGACATAGTAAAAAAATCATTACGTTTGAACGTAGAGTGCGTTAAAATGTATGGCAGTGAATGCGCCAGAAATATGATTTTTCAGATTCATTACAGTGTTGTCAATATTTAATATCGAAATGAAGCTCGTTTGTGATTATATAAAATGATGATACAAGCAAAATGTTTAATTGTATCTCCAAATTCCAAAACGAGATTAGTAATTAAACTTATTTCATTTTTTATTTTATGTATCTATGTGTGTGTCAGAAAGAGCTCCATTTGTATTTTACGAATTCATCGATTGGCTTTTCGTTGAAAACGATAAAATCGATACTTACAACAGGATTTTTTATTTATAGAAATATATTTCGAGACAAAATATATTTAGAATGGATCTGATATATAATCAAAAAGGAGACATAGAACAGATCTATTGCATTTTATCAAATCATATGTTTTGAAATATCATTAACATCTAAAGTTTACGGTTTTCTACATTATTTAAAAATGCACTATACGTCATCATAAAAAAATTTAATCTATAATTTTAGAAATCAACGATCCCCCTAACAACTCAACAAATCATTTAATTATATAAAACCTAAATTGTGATCGAAGCCGCGATTATACTAGCTTTTATTATTTGTTACATAATTCATAATTGTATCGCAGTAATGCAATTGGTGATTGTATCACAAATAATAATGATTGTTTCACAAGATTGAGGTTACTACGTATCGAAACTCATTCACCGATCTTTTACTTTAAAACAAGTTTATTCAACAAGAAAAAAAAAACTGTTTTTGATATACGACTGCAAAATATTCAATATTTCTTATCATTGTGTAAACGAACAGCAAAAGCAATTTTAAGAAAAAAAACGATGAAAAGTGTGTCAAAGCAAAATACAATTAAAATACAAATTAAAGTTTAAATTGAAAATAATTATAACTAAGTTATAATTGGTTTAAAATATTTTACATATTAAAAGAAAAAATAAAAACTGTATTATAATTATGTAACAAATGGTAATATAAAATTGTATAGTAATAAGCGTATTATTCTATACCCTCGCGCACAGTGAATTTACAGATATTAACTACCTTATGATTAAATAACTAAAACTAAACACACGCAACTTAAAACTAAGCCGCATGCAACCCACGATGATCCTGCGAGATCCCTCGTCGTACGTTACACCGCTGGGCCTAATATTTTACGTATCAACTAAATGTCCTCATCAACTAATTATCCTCCTAATTCAATTTAGATTGAAAAATAAAGAAAGGAAAGAAATTTTCACGAACTAAACTGAACTGTAGCTTGCGTAGTCCTTAGCTTCATAACGTTTTACAAACCTTAATGTTTATTAATTACCAGATCTCACCACGAGAAACTTGGAGACCCGACTCTAGTGCCAATGAACAAAGTAACAATAGTAAAAACGAACGAAAGAAGAGAAGAGATGAGGGATTCCTAATTTCGTCCCAAGTTCAGTAAACGTGTCTTTGTACAAAATGCGTTCACAATGAATTTACAGAGATTAACTAAAACTAAACGCACGCAACTTAAAGTTAAGACGCACGCAACTTAAAACTAAGGCGCACGCAACTTAAAGTTAAGAGTTACGCATCCCACGATGTGCTCGGTGCTCCGCTGGGCCGATGTGCACACGACGGAATTTCACTTTGTAATGAGTGTTCGTACTATTCAAGGTTATATT